CGGACAGAGCTCTCTGGTGATGACAGCGCAGCCGTTTCAGTCCACACAGGGGTAAGTTTCAAAGAGCATTTTCTGTTTTGGAAGAGATTTATGCTTGATTTCAGGTCATAACATGCATGTTTTGCAGGGAGGAGGGCCGAGTGGGCCAGCCTGGTTGTCCGGGAGGAAATGATCTCACTAGAGCACTCCACCGCCTGTCATTGCGCCGTCAGAACTTCCTGTCCGAGCGACAGTTCTTCCAGGCGGAGCGGGAAAAGAAGGTGCAGGCCCTGGCGGAGGTGGAAGGAGAAGGCAGTTGCTGCAGCTCACCAATGGGCAGTGCAGTCTCGTCTTTCTCCAACCTGTCGGATCTCTCCATCGCCTCCACTGTTTTTAAGACTTTCCTGCCTGAGAAGCTCCAGATTGTCAAACCCATGGAAGGTAATGTTTGCTTTGTTGACACCTCGAAGGTTATCGTTTACTACAAGGTGATGTAATCCAATTAAAGAAACCTCCAGCAGAACCAGGCTCAGGGAGAGGTGGCCATCTGCTGGGGTTGGTTGGGGTGAGGGGAGGAAGACAGGACAAGGACATGCAGTGGAAGAGAGGCAGAGATTATTAATAACTAATAATTAAATGCAGAGTATGCAGTAACACATGCTGACATTTCTTTCTCAGGCTCGCTGACACTGCACCACTGGCAGCAGCTGGCCAAACCTCACCTGGGAACCATCCTGGACCCACACCCTGGAGTAGTGACTAAAGGTTTTCGCCCATTGGCTCAGGACGCTGTGTACCACCTGTCTGACATGGAGGAGGATGAAGAAGATGAAGAAAACAGAAGGAATGGTATCCTGGAGAAAGGAGCAGCAGAGCGGAGTAAGGAGGAGGAAGATGAGGAGGAGGAAGGCGGAATCACCTTTAACGTGCGCTGCTCATCTACACCCGAGGAGAAAAAGGACAGAAAGCATGCGGTATCATCTGTCCCAGTGCCGCCTCTCTCCACTGGGAGTCCAGCTGCTTCCTCCTCCATCAGGTTAGACTTCTGCCCTACACCCCTTCATGCCACAGAGAAACCCGGCCAATCGCCTCAGCCCATTCCAGGAGCCTCTGGAGCAGGACTCCAATCACAAAGCCAAACCTTGACATCGACAGCAGTATCTTCCTCTGGTAAAAATCACTTTTTGTAGCTTGTTATTGCTCATCATTTCCAAGGTGCGCGTGTTTGGTTTTCTGAAGTTTTCTTGTTTGTTCAGTCCAAAACCCAGGGAAGTGTCAGAGCTCCACCTTTTCCACCTACACCTTCACTACCTGCCGCATTCTGCACCCGTGTGACATCACACAGGTCACCCCAAGGTGAGTCCTCTTCAAGAAAATAAGCATCCCATAAACACTGTTATTGTTCTAACACAGACTCTCCTTTTCTTGCTTTCAGTTCTCAGTCATCCCACATGGCGAACACGCCTAGCTCCATGAGGACGGGTCCCAGCACCCCTGTGACTCCCTGCAGACTCAGTCTGGGTGACTCTTTCCCCCCTCGACGTCTGCCTGCACCCCCCAGTGGCCTGACCAAGCTGGTCCTAGAGAGGGGTATTTCTGCACAAGTCTCCAACCCTCCTCCAACCCCGAGACCCGCCCCCTGGCAGCCCCTCTTCCAGCTTCTGCCAAGCACGCCCCCCAACTCCCCCTCCCACTCTCCTGCCCCTTCCCCAGTGCCTACAGAGCCCCGCCAACACCCAGCTGACAATTTCCTGGCCTCGCGGCCCGCAGAGCTTTTTCTCCAAGACGTTTATGGGTTAAACCTGGGCCGCGCTCCGCATCCTGACCTACCAAGCCCATCCCAAGAAACCCCAGCCCTCATGTCATCCGCCAAATCAGGCAGATCCAGGCCCGACCCGGCCAGTGTTGGTTTGGTGGAGAAGCTCCGGCAGCTGGGATTCACTAAGGTGTTGCATGGTTCTGAGTCTGATGCTTCAATGCCACGCCAGGATTCTGCCACATTTGTGTCAGCAGGTGGAGGGAGCCTTTTAGATGGCCTGAGGCGCAACCAGAGCCTCCCGGCTATGATTGGTGCCCGAGCTGGAAAGTCAGCCGGTCACTCAGCTCCTCCTCCTCACCCCAGGACCCTGGCTATCCCCCCACCTCCATGGGGGAACCTAAAAGAAAGACGGCGGCATCTTGCCTCTATCTCCTACCCAAGTTCAGCCAAACGTTGAACTTAAGAGAACATCAGTCCCCTCTTTTATTCCTCCACCACATCTCTCCTCCTTTCTGCCTTTGGAGAGAGAAGTCAGGGCAGCGGTGGGCAGAACAATCCGTCCTTTTTTGGAACTTAATTTTAAAGCACAATTTAATGATACTGACTGTTTTTAGCCACCCTGCATTTTCTGTGTATGTGGATGTCTGCCATGCTGATAGTTAAAAAGGCCTTAGCTTGCCTCTGAGTGGGTCATCCTCTTCTCAGTCTTATATTAAATAGACTCAGTAGTTCTCCAGTAAGGCTCTAGATGTTAGGCACGGGTAGAGGAGGGCAAGAAAGGAAATTGTAAGTGTACGAAGGTTTGTGGAAGTTGATTAGAGAAAAGTAAAGGAAGAAGTGAAAGAAGGGCGAAAAGGGTGTCAGTATGTTTATGTCAGAAGACGGGGTTTCCGCCATATCAGTTAACATAGGGGGTTCAAGTAGCCCAGGCTGGAAAGCAGGCATTTTTCTCTCACAATTGTCACTAAAAAATGTTCAGAAAATCTATATTGTTGTAATAAAGGTATAACTGTACAAACTTGGTAATTGATAAGTTTTGGTTAACGACCCATTAGCATACACTAGATGAATGCTATGGGCAAAATTAGCTTTACTGTAAAAAAACAAAACAAAAAGTCATAAATTTGTTCAGTTCGATTCAGTTTGTACATATTAACAATATTGTGTGCAAAAGTTTAAACATACATGTGTAGGGCTGCCATGATTAGTCGACTAGTCACGATTACGTCGACTATTAAAATCAGACGATTTTAATAGTCGACGCGTTGTTTGAAGCTTTGTAAGATCACAAAAGACGCAGGAATGAGTAGTAGGATTTAAGAGTGTAATAACGGACTGAAACAGAAGATGGCAGCACTGCATGTACAAGGATGCCAGCTGCCGTTAAACCCCGAAGAAGAAGCTGTGTCCCATAATTCATAGCACGGCCCAGCGCACTTGTCAACAATGGCGGCAGCTAGTTAGTTTTAATATTACTCTTATTATTTCTGGGTCACAAAATAAAGCTTAACATATTTTCAGGCAAGAATGTAGCTGTGTAAACCTCAAATATCTGCTCAGTTTATCAAGACACCACATACTTTCAAAAGCGCGCCGACGTTTTTGGAGATGTCTGTTACCCACCAGCTCGATAGCTAGCCGGGGGCAAGCCTCACTAGAGCCTGTGAGAACACCGGACTCCCGGCAAATCGTTTTCAAACCCACCACCGTCTTTCGCTACTCATGTTAAACATATATAAGTCACTTAGATAACTTAAAAATGTTATTGTTTGGCTTTTTTTAGTATTTTATTTGTTCCTGAGTAAATCGGTTTGGCTGAGATTAAAGTTTTTACACAGCTGAATAAACATCAGGCAGACAGCTGATTATCAGAAGAGTGAGATGAATCGAGAATATACTCCGGTGTCCTGTTATATTTTAGATAGCAAGGAGTTTATTAAACTCCACCGAAACAATCTGCAAATTTCATTAAAATTTAATAAACTATCATCTTGTCTTTATTTTTAGTTAGCACATACCTTAAACACTCCAAGCTATAAGCTAATGATAGTTATATAAGAGAAGATGCATGCTGGTGCAATAAGCTGTACGTTTTACGTCCAATGGATGATGATCTGATTAGTCGACTAATCGCAAAAATAATCGGTGACTAGTCGACTATCAAAATAATCATTTGTGGCAGCCCTATACATGTGCATAATTTTGACTACAAACAATTATTTTGGCATTACCTGCATTCATTCCTATCCATTAAGAACTGTGCCATGAGCGCCCCCTGCTGCAGCCATAGTTGAATTGCAAGCACTTTGTGTACAGTAGGATTAAAAGGAAACACACCGTCTCCCATTGACCAGCTGTGACACACCTGTGCACACAACAGGTAACGAGAGACTGTAGAGTTTATTTTTGGCTTTCCAGCTTTTAAAAGCGAGAGCACCAATCATGCTAAACATCATTTGCATACAGTAAAAAAGCCTAGCAGTTCTGTTATTAGTGGACATAAGTGGATGGATACCAACTAGAAAGCAAAACTATTCAATTTGAACAACTTTTTTCAGGCTGGTCTTATGTGTGTAAAGTGGTTAACAGTAACAGTAGGCTAATGACGTATTAGCTAAATTAATATATGGAGCTGTTGTGTAAAAACAAAAATATCTGGTGTTTAAGGAGCTTGTAATACACTGGCGGAAACCCTAAAAGATGAAAGAAGAAGAAAATAAGGGAGAGGGGGTAGGGGGGCTTCTGGGGTCTTGCTGTTTTAAGGGCTTCTCAGTTATAGAACAACATCCTGCTAGCTCATAGCGTAGCAGTTGCTTTCTTCATACATACAGGTAGGAGGACAAGCTTGGAGACTTCAACCACTCGCTGGTTTAGCAGCTGAACATGCCAGTATTATTGTAACAGTTTTACAGTGTTGCACGGATGTCCAGTGACCGTCCATGCGCCATGTCCAACGCCTGCATGAACACCACCTTGTCTGCTGGTCCCAGCATGCACCTGTTGGCAGACAGTTAGGATGAAGGCAAAGACAAAACCAAATGGGACATCAGGCAAAAAAACAAATAGGGTGAAAGTTTTCCTTCAGGTCTTTGTGTTTTGCGTGTGCGTGCGTGTTTCTGTTTGTGTGTTTTTAATGGTATGAGGCCGTATGTGGAAACTAGCACTGCTCTAGTTTGAGTTCCTTTTTTAAGCTGTATTTGGACATGAGTTGCACTTAGTGGGATTAAGAGGTTTAAGGGTCCAGAGTGACTGAGATTTTCTTTGACAATAGATGTTCAGGTTTGGGCTGTAAAGAGGGAATAAAAACACTCACTTATTATTTTAGCTGTTAACCTAATTCAGATTTGATCAAGATTTGATCAAAATATGTTTCTCCTTTATCTCATGGATGTATACAGTTTGTGTATCGGCCAGCAGGTGGTAGTGTTCTGTAGGAAAACATCTGACATCATTCTGTACATGTGACAGGCTATAGCATTAAAAATAAGGAAACTTAGAGCTTTGTGCTTTATCCCTGTGACCCTTCAGTGCTATTGTTCCCAACCAGACCGTGCCCCGCCCCCCATCTCCAGTAACTGCACTTTTAGTTTTTTGTGTTTAACCTTTATTTTATTGATGAAAGAGTTTGATATACATAAATAAGAGACATTTAGCATAATTGTGAATGTTGTAACAATATCAGCTAACATCTTTCCATAAAAATTTGGATAAGTAGCATTTTGTTGTGCTTTTCACATGAAGGGAATCCAAACTCAGTATTATTTTTAATTTTGAATATTCTGGCTTATACATGTGTTTGTGATGCATTTAGCAGCTAATTAACAATAATGCTTTAAAGGGCAACAAGAGCTTCAGCTGAATGTTTAATAGGAGAGCAGGACTGCAGAGGGGAAGGAAGGTACATTCATAAAGTTGGATAACTTCCATCCCCTTGAAGCAGGAGGTTCTCTGGCTATAAGAGAAAATGTCCTGCGATTCCTTCATGTCTCATGCCTATTATTCATGTCTATCTTTTTAAATAAATAAAAAAATATATATATTGCCCGTCTCACTGTTTTGTTATGATTTGATGGAAGTTGACCTAAATTCCAGACAAATGGTTTGCAGTTGGGTGTAAATTCAGTCCACTGTATGCAATACACCAATTCTATTGCAAATTTCGTGACAATCTCTCTGTTAGTTATGGGATATTAAAAGTTTGGGACTAAAATGTTTGATTTTTTTTTTTTTTTTAAGACTGCCATCTAGCTTCAGTGGATTCCATAGACTGTACATAAAAGATAGTTGGGTTAATGACCGTATTTGGAAGAGAGACTAAAGTGCTAAGCTAATGCTAACTTGCTTAGTTAAGACCTCACCATCTGAGGTGAGGGAGACGGGCTGTGGAAGGGAGCCAGAATAATAATACATATTGAGTAAATGCAGAGCTAAATGAGGATTCATGGTGACCTTATCCAGTGCCAACTTTATGCTTTATTAAAACAACGTTTTTAAAAAGTCTTATAAGTAAAGAAAGCATATGTCTCCCAAATCCAAACTGGGAGCTGGCTATACAGAAGAAAGGCCTGAAAGCTGAAGGCTCTGCCGCTCATCCTAGTTTTAAATACTCTGCACAGTTAGCTAGCCGTCTGAGAACAAAGTGCTGATATGGTAGAACAAGGTTTTTAATATAAGATGGGACCTGATTATACAAGACAAGACTAGACTATGTGAGGAGAAGGATTTAAAATTTGATTCTGGATAAACAGGAAGCCAATGAAGAAAAGCCAATATGGGATAAATATGGCACCTGATTCTCTTTCACCTGTAATTCAAAGTAACCACGTCCCTAACTCCAAGCCTTAGTAGTTCCCAAATGGAAGAGTTATATTTAAAAAACAAACAATCAAATTGGGACATTTTAACATGAATGTACATGTGGACTGACTTACTTTTGAAACCAGTCTTAAGTGGCCATTAGAAGAACTGCAATAGTAGTAACCAACATGCCTTAAAAAACAAACAAACAAACAAACAACCCAAAACACAAAAGGTCATACACCTGACTACATTAGATAAACGACTTTTTGCATGCTTGAAGTGTAGTTGGTACTTTGTTAACAGGCAGCACCGTGTCCTGTGCCAGATATCCACATATGCACATATCAGTGGCATTTGTTCATCACACTTCAGTCAAGCATTATTACTTTCTTTATTAGGCACAACATCGAAATACCATCTTTTAAAAAATATTTTAGCCCTTATACACTTTGCTGATGCTTTTTACATTCTGATAATGACATTTACTCATTTGATATCTCAGTCATAACCACCACCTGCACCCACCTGGTTACCCAAACATCTTGATCCCCCCAAAAAACAAAACTAAATACAAAAGTGGAATAAATAAAGTTAAAGATTATTTTCTCTTTCTATAGAAGACATGGCATCAGCGCCATGATAACTATGCAGTCTGATATTGTGACAGCCTCAACCCAAAATCTGTGGCATTGAAAGCTCCCGTTTGCTAAAAACAGTGCACTCTTTGTTTTTTGTGAATAGTAGAAGCTAACTAAGTGCATTTAAGCTATGTACACATATACACACATACATATATTTATAGATGACTTTGCAAATAATTTCAGTCAGTGTGTCATTCTAACAATCAGCAGGAACACTTGTGTTTTTCCTGTGTTCAGCTCTGAAGTCAGTCAGTGAATTACCAACTCTCTGGTCTTCACAGGGGGCAGATCTTGATGCTCTCAGAACTTGAACTGAAGTCTAGCCCAACCCCGATTCCGCTCCCCACCCAGAAGGTGGCATAAAGCGGCTGCGTAAAGTTGGCTCGGAAGGTGTGGAGGTGGGTCATGCTCTCTGCGACGCTGTAGAACGACAGCGTTCCCGCGGACAGGTCCAGGTAAATGCCCACACGGGGGCAGTACACGACCGGAATGTCCTTTTTCTGATTGTCATGCATGGCTGTGCAGCAGGTGTCCGACAGCTCTAAGGTCCAGGACTGGGCATTGTATCCGAGGCCTGACCTGGCGTCCGAGCCCTTCCTGGCCATCGCCCCGTAAGCTATGCCGGTTGAGGAGCCCCGGCCTCTCCACTCCACCTCCCAGTAGCAGCGTTGGGCATACAGCGGACTGTCACACATCACCTGGGTCCAGCCATCAAAACGCTGGGGGCTGTCGGGGTAAAGCTGGGCCGTCCCCTGCAGGGCGGCTTTAGTGTTGTTCTCAGAGAGCGTCAGCTGCCTGTGGGCCGTGTTGGAGTCAAGGGTCAAGCTCACTGAGTCTAGGAAAGACATTTCAAGGACAAAATATTTTGACAACTTATCATGGCCAATTCTGTACATCAACATCTATGTTCTGATACACTACAGTGGAACAAGATGCCCTCCGAGAGCACAAACCTCCTCCAAGCTGGCTCACTCTCTGGGCAGTGTTAATTTTAAGGTAGCATGACAGATGTTTAATAAAATAATGGTAATGGATACTAAATAACTATACATGAATACCTTGAGTTTATTATATAATATGATACTACAGTATATTTCTCACTAACAGCACCCTAAGCAGCTCATTGTCTTTAAAAATGCTTCAATGTTGTGACTGATCACAAATTCACCTGGTAACATGCTCATTATATTAAAGGAAAAACATCACAGTCATTAGGAGTTCTTCATCTATGTGACTACAGTTCACTTATCAGAGATGGGCAGTAACGCGTTACTTGTAATCTGATTACTTTTTTCAAGTAACGAGTAAAGTAAGGGATTACTATTGCAAAAACGGTAATTAGATTACCGTTACTTTCCCGTAGGAACGCTGCGTTACTGCGTTACTAAAACCGTGATTTTTTGCGAGAATGTCTCATGACAGTGACGTAAGCGAGTGCGCCGTTAGTGACAACAGCTGTGTGCAGATCAACAATGGATCACATATCGATTGTGGGAGAGAGTATGAGCGTGCAGCGTTTAAAGCGTGGAAGTACTGACCTTACTTTGAGTTTGATTCCATAAAAAGTGACAAAAACATTAGCGTCCATTGTGCGTGGGAAGAAAACTTCTTTTTACAGCGAAAAAAACCCCTAAACTTCCAAGCAAGCACCGAGTGCGCAACGACGTAATGGGAAACTCACAGAGAAACTCGCGGATTCTTCAACTGACCGCGGCACACCTGCACCAGGGTAAACCTCCGCCTACCCAGTCCTGCTTTACAGGTGAAAATAGAGCAACAGGACCGCTGAGTCTTTGACTTTATTTATTTTCTGCTGTGTTTTACTTGCATCTATTTGAAAGAGTGAGTGTAAACACAAAAAATATTTTATTTTATGTGCTGGAATGTGCAGAAAATAGGTTTAAATGTTAAACTAATTTATTCAAGTCAGAGAATGTTGCATATAATTAAATTTTTGCTTGATGCATAAAGTTAAAAGATTAAAACTGATAAAACAAGTTAAAAAAAGAGACTTTTCCATTTGATTACATTTTGTATGATGGATTATGAGAAAAAGTAGAATTGGGCTGAAAGATCTATCGCTTTATCACCTCTTCAGGTTGTAAATCGTGTTTTTAAAAAGTAACTAAGTAATTAATTACTTTTGAAAATAAGTAATCAGTAAAGTAACGGGATTACTTTTTGGGGGAAGTAATCAGTAATTAGTTACTGATTACTTTTTTCAAGTAACTTGACCAACACTGTCACTTATATACAAAACAAAAGATTTTTATATGAGAACAAAAATGTGTAACTGAGTTTTGACCTTCAATGAATGCTCGAGAAATATGTTTTTGAAGGTTTCATTTAAGAATCTCGTTTATCTGCTTGTTGTTGTCATTACTTTTTTTCCCCTCTTCTTGGAACATATGGTACTTTTAATGATATGAACCCAGGCCAGACCTATATATGAGCATCTGATCCTATATTATTTGTATGGTCTGTGTAGTATGTGGTGACTGAATGAATAAACTGACTGAATGGTTAAAAAGTGACAGTTTGTGGTCCCAGTTTGTGCCTAGATCTGTCATTTTGTACAGACTTACACTGCAGGAACTCCTCTCTAGTCCTCGGCTCCGGGGCCTGAATACTGTCAAGGCTGATTTCTCTCACTGTAAAAAAAAAAACAACAACAACAAAAAATTAAATGCATCTTTTTTTTTTTCCACTGTACATCATAATAGTTTGATTTCCATTTATGTTTCTTCTCTCAATACCAAAATGACTAAAGCTTGAATGACTCACAGGCGGGGAAAGCCGGAGCGTGATTCATGGAGTCCGGAGTGGGCGTATCCAAAAAGAGACCGGGGTTAACTGACCAATGAGAAAACAGCATTAGTGATGTCACTGAAACGCATATTGCTTAACTTATTCAACCGGTTGAACAGTTGATGGGACAATACATTCATGTTATATATAGAAGGGCAATCTTCTTACTTTCTGTGGGAGTTTCAGACAGCTCAGCCATGCCCCCTGTTGAATGCAGAGACAGAGTGATTGCTTCTGTTAATGTCACTAATTGCTCTTGAGTGCTTCAGTCAGTAAACACTTCAACTAGAAGTCAAAGCTGTCTATTTAAATGTAAAACCATCTAATAACTTATAAATATCTAGCACTTAGCCAACTTCTCATTCATCATCATCATCATCTTGTTTCCCACAAAAGCAAAGGCAGAAAAATAACCATAAAACAGCAAGAGGGAGAGGAGGGAAAGAGAGTAGAGAGAGAGAGAGAGAGAGAGAGAGAGAGAGAGAGAGAAAGAGAGAGAGAGAGAGAGAGAGAGAGAGAGAGAGAGAGAGAGAGAGAGAGAGAGAGAGAGAGACGAGAGAGCAGAGAGAGAGAGAGAGAGAGAGAGAGAGAGAAGAGAGAGAGAGAGAGAGAGAATCTTGCTGTTTTATGGTTATTTTTCTGCCTTTGCTTTTGTGGGAAACAAGATGATGATGATGATGAATGAGAAGTTGGCTAAGTGCTAGATATTTATAAGTTATTAGATGGTTTTACATTTAAATAGACAGCTTTGACTTCTAGTTGAAGTGTTTACTGACTGAAGCACTCAAGAGCAATTAGTGACATTAACAGAAGCAATCACTCTGTCTCTGCATTCAACAGGGGGCATGGCTGAGCTGTCTGAAACTCCCACAGAAAGTAAGAAGATTGCCCTTCTATATATAACATGAATGTATTGTCCCATCAACTGTTCAACCGGTTGAATAAGTTAAGCAATATGCGTTTCAGTGACATCACTAATGCTGTTTTCTCATTGGTCAGTTAACCCCGGTCTCTTTTTGGATACGCCCACTCCGGACTCCATGAATCACGCTCCGGCTTTCCCCGCCTGTGAGTCATTCAAGCTTTAGTCATTTTGGTATTGAGAGAAGAAACATAAATTGGAAATCAAACTATTATGATGTACAGTGAAAAAAAAAAAGATGCATTTAATTTTTTTTTGTTGTTGTTTTTTTTTTTACAGTGAGAGAAATCAGCCTTGACAGTATTCAGGCCCCGGAGCCGAGGACTAGAGAGGAGTTCCTGCAGTGTAAGTCTGTACAAAATGACAGATCTAGGCACAAACTGGGACCACAAACTGTCACTTTTTAACCATTCAGTCAGTTTATTCATTCAGTCACCACATACTACACAGACCATACAAATAATATAGGATCAGATGCTCATATATAGGTCTGGCCTGGGTTCATATCATTAAAAGTACCATATGTTCCAAGAAGAGGGGAAAAAAAGTAATGACAACAACAAGCAGATAAACGAGATTCTTAAATGAAACCTTCAAAAACATATTTCTCGAGCATTCATTGAAGGTCAAAACTCAGTTACACATTTTTGTTCTCATATAAAAATCTTTTGTTTTGTATATAATGCAGTGTTGGTCAAGTTACTTGAAAAAAGTAATCAGTAACTAATTACTGATTACTTCCCCCAAAAAGTAATCCGTTACTTTACTGATTACTTATTTTCAAAAGTAATTAATTACTTAGTTACTTTTTAAAAACACGATTTACAACCTGAAGAGGTGATAAAGCGATAGATCTTTCAGCCCAATTCTACTTTTTCTACATAATCCATCATACAAAATGTAATCAAATGGAAAAGTCTCTTTTTTTTAACTTGTTTTATCAGTTTTAATCTTTTAACTTTATGCATCAAGCAAAAATTTAATTATATGCAACATTCTCTGACTTGAATAAATTAGTTTAACATTTAAACCTATTTTCTGCACATTCCAGCACATAAAATAAAATATTTTTTGTGTTTACACTCACTCTTTCAAATAGATGCAAGTAAAACACAGCAGAAAATAAATAAAGTCAAAGACTCAGCGGTCCTGTTGCTCTATTTTCACCTGTAAAGCAGGACTGGGTAGGCGGAGGTTTACCCTGGTGCAGGTGTGCCGCGGTCAGTTGAAGAATCCGCGAGTTTCTCTGTGAGTTTCCCATTACGTCGTTGCGCACTCGGTGCTTGCTTGGAAGTTTAGGGGTTTTTTTCGCTGTAAAAAGAAGTTTTCTTCCCACGCACAATGGACGCTAATGTTTTTGTCACTTTTTATGGAATCAAACTCAAAGTAAGGTCAGTACTTCCACGCTTTAAACGCTGCACGCTCATACTCTCTCCCACAATCGATATGTGATCCATTGTTGATCTGCACACAGCTGTTGTCACTAACGGCGCACTCGCTTACGTCACTGTCATGAGACATTCTCGCAAAAAATCACGGTTTTAGTAACGCAGTAACGCAGCGTTCCTACGGGAAAGTAACGGTAATCTAATTACCGTTTTTGCAATAGTAATCCCTTACTTTACTCGTTACTTGAAAAAAGTAATCAGATTACAGTAACGCGTTACTGCCCATCTCTGATAAGTGAACTGTAGTCACATAGATGAAGAACTCCTAATGACTGTGATGTTTTTCCTTTAATATAATGAGCATGTTACCAGGTGAATTTGTGATCAGTCACAACATTGAAGCATTTTTAAAGACAATGAGCTGCTTAGGGTGCTGTTAGTGAGAAATATACTGTAGTATCATATTATATAATAAACTCAAGGTATTCATGTATAGTTATTTAGTATCCATTACCATTATTTTATTAAACATCTGTCATGCTACCTTAAAATTAACACTGCCCAGAGAGTGAGCCAGCTTGGAGGAGGTTTGTGCTCTCGGAGGGCATCTTGTTCCACTGTAGTGTATCAGAACATAGATGTTGATGTACAGAATTGGCCATGATAAGTTGTCAAAATATTTTGTCCTTGAAATGTCTTTCCTAGACTCAGTGAGCTTGACCCTTGACTCCAACACGGCCCACAGGCAGCTGACGCTCTCTGAGAACAACACTAAAGCCGCCCTGCAGGGGACGGCCCAGCTTTACCCCGACAGCCCCCAGCGTTTTGATGGCTGGACCCAGGTGATGTGTGACAGTCCGCTGTATGCCCAACGCTGCTACTGGGAGGTGGAGTGGAGAGGCCGGGGCTCCTCAACCGGCATAGCTTACGGGGCGATGGCCAGGAAGGGCTCGGACGCCAGGTCAGGCCTCGGATACAATGCCCAGTCCTGGACCTTGGAGCTGTCGGACACCTGCTGCACAGCCATGCATGACAATCAGAAAAAGGACATTCCGGTCGTGTACTGCCCCCGTGTGGGCATTTACCTGGACCTGTCCGCGGGAACGCTGTCGTTCTACAGCGTCGCAGAGAGCATGACCCACCTCCACACCTTCCGAGCCAACTTTACGCAGCCGCTTTATGCCACCTTCTGGGTGGGGAGCGGAATCGGGGTTGGGCTAGACTTCAGTTCAAGTTCTGAGAGCATCAAGATCTGCCCCCTGTGAAGACCAGAGAGTTGGTAATTCACTGACTGACTTCAGAGCTGAACACAGGAAAAACACAAGTGTTCCTGCTGATTGTTAGAATGACACACTGACTGAAATTATTTGCAAAGTCATCTATAAATATATGTATGTGTGTATATGTGTACATAGCTTAAATGCACTTAGTTAGCTTCTACTATTCACAAAAAACAAAGAGTGCACTGTTTTTAGCAAACGGGAGCTTTCAATGCCACAGATTTTGGGTTGAGGCTGTCACAATATCAGACTGCATAGTTATCATGGCGCTGATGCCATGTCTTCTATAGAAAGAGAAAATAATCTTTAACTTTATTTATTCCACTTTTGTATTTAGTTTTGTTTTTTGGGGGGATCAAGATGTTTGGGTAACCAGGTGGGTGCAGGTGGTGGTTATGACTGAGATATCAAATGAGTAAATGTCATTATCAGAATGTAAAAAGCATCAGCAAAGTGTATAAGGGCTAAAATATTTTTTAAAAGATGGTATTTCGATGTTGTGCCTAATAAAGAAAGTAATAATGCTTGACTGAAGTGTGATGAACAAATGCCACTGATATGTGCATATGTGGATATCTGGCACAGGACACGGTGCTGCCTGTTAACAAAGTACCAACTACACTTCAAGCATGCAAAAAGTCGTTTATCTAATGTAGTCAGGTGTATGACCTTTTGTGTTTTGGGTTGTTTGTTTGTTTGTTTGTTTTTTAAGGCATGTTGGTTACTACTATTGCAGTTCTTCTAATGGCCACTTAAGACTGGTTTCAAAAGTAAGTCAGTCCACATGTACATTCATGTTAAAATGTCCCAATTTGATTGTTTGTTTTTTAAATATAACTCTTCCATTTGGGAACTACTAAGGCTTGGAGTTAGGGACGTGGTTACTTTGAATTACAGGTGAAAGAGAATCAGGTGCCATATTTATCCCATATTGGCTTTTCTTCATTGGCTTCCTGTTTATCCAGAATCAAATTTTAAATCCTTCTCCTCACATAGTCTAGTCTTGTCTTGTATAATCAGGTCCCATCTTATATTAAAAACCTTGTTCTACCATATCAGCACTTTGTTCTCAGACGGCTAGCTTACTTGCAGAGTATTTAAAACTAGGATGAGGGGCAGAGCCTTCAGCTTTCAGGCCCTCTTCTTGTATAGCCAGCTCCCAGTTTGGATTTGGGAGACATATGCTTCTTTACTTATAAGACTTTTTAAAAACGTTGTTTTAATAAAGCATAAAGTTGGCACTGGATAAGGTCACCATGAATCCTCATTTAGCTCTGCATTTACTCAATATGTATTATTATTCTGGCTCCCTTCCACAGCCCGTCTCCCTCACCTCAGATGGTGAGGTCTTAACTAAGCAAGTTAGCATTAGCTTAGCACTTTAGTCTCTCTTCCAAATACGGTCATTAACCCAACTATCTTTTATGTACAGTCTATGGAATCCACTGAAGCTAGATGGCAGTCTTAAAAAAAAAAAAAAATCAAACATTTTAGTCCCAAACTTTTAATATCCCATAACTAACAGAGAGATTGTCACGAAATTTGCAATAGAATTGGTGTATTGCATACAGTGGACTGAATTTACACCCAACTGCAAACCATTTGTCTGGAATTTAGGTCAACTTCCATCAAATCATAACAAAACAGTGAGACGGGCAATATATATATTTTTTTATTTATTTAAAAAGATAGACATGAATAATAGGCATGAGACATGAAGGAATCGCAGGACATTTTCTCTTATAGCCAGAGAACCTCCTGCTTCAAGGGGATGGAAGTTATCCAACTTTATGAATGTACCTTCCTTCCCCTCTGCAGTCCTGCTCTCCTATTAAACATTCAGCTGAAGCTCTTGTTGCCCTTTAAAGCATTATTGTTAATTAGCTGCTAAATGCATCACAAACACATGTATAAGCCAGAATATTCAAAATTAAAAATAATACTGAGTTTGGATTCCCTTCATGTGAAAAGCACAACAAAATGCTACTTATCCAAATTTTTATGGAAAGATGTTAGCTGATATTGTTACAACATTCACAATTATGCTAAATGTCTCTTATTTATGTATATCAAACTCTTTCATCAATAAAATAAAGGTTAAACACAAAAAACTAAAAGTGCAGTTACTGGAGATGGGGGGCGGGGCACGGTCTGGTTGGGAACAATAGCACTGAAGGGTCACAGGGATAAAGCACAAAGCTCTAAGTTTCCTTATTTTTAATGCTATAGCCTGTCACATGTACAGAATGATGTCAGATGTTTTCCTACAGAACACTACCACCTGCTGGCCGATACACAAACTGTATACATCCATGAGATAAAGGAGAAACATATTTTGATCAAATCTTGATCAAATCTGAATTAGGTTAACAGCTAAAATAATAAGTGAGTGTTTTTATTCCCTCTTTACAGCCCAAACCTGAACATCTATTGTCAAAGAAAATCTCAGTCACTCTGGACCCTTAAACCTCTTAATCCCACTAAGTGCAACTCATGTCCAAATACAGCTTAAAAAAGGAACTCAAACTAGAGCAGTGCTAGTTTCCACATACGGCCTCATACCATTAAAAACACACAAACAGAAACACGCACGCACACGCAAAACACAAAGACCTGAAGGAAAACTTTCACCCTATTTGTTTTTTTGCCTGATGTCCCATTTGGTTTTGTCTTTGCCTTCATCCTAACTGTCTGCCAACAGGTGCATGCTGGGACCAGCAGACAAGGTGGTGTTCATGCAGGCGTTGGGCATGGCGCATGGACGGTCACTGGACATCCGTGCAACACTGTAAAACTGTTACAATAATACTGGCATGTTCAGCTGCTAAACCAGCGAGTGGTTGAAGTCTCCAAGCTTGTCCTCCTACCTGTATGTATGAAGAAAGCAACTGCTACGCTATGAGCTAGCAGGATGTTGTTCTATAACTGAGAAGCCCTTAAAACAGCAAGACCCCAGAAGCCCCCCTACCCCCTCTCCCTTATTTTCTTCTTCTTTCATCTTTTAGGGTTTCCGCCAGTGTATTACAAGCTCCTTAAACACCAGATATTTTTGTTTTTACACAACAGCTCCATATATTAATTTAGCTAATACGTCATTAGCCTACTGTTACTGTTAACCACTTTACACACATAAGACCAGCCTGAAAAAAGTTGTTCAAATTGAATAGTTTTGCTTTCTAGTTATGTCCACTAATAACAGAACTGCTAGGCTTTTTTACTGTATGCAAATGATGTTTAGCATGATTGGTGCTCTCGCTTTTAAAAGCTGGAAAGCCAAAAATAAACTCTACAGTCTCTCGTTACCTGTTGTGTGCACAGGTGTGTCACAGCTGGTCAATGGGAGACGGTGTGTTTCCTTTTAATCCTACTGTACACAAAGTGCTTGCAATTCAACTATGGCTGCAGCAGGGGGCGCTCATGGCACAGTTCTTAATGGATAGGAATGAATGCAGGTAATGCCAAAATAATTGTTTGTAGTCAAAATTATGCACATGTATAGGGCTGCCACAAATGATTATTTTGATAGTCGACTAGTCACCGATTATTTTTGCGATTAGTCGACTAATCAGATCATCATCCATTGGACGTAAAACTACAGCTTATTGCACCAGCAGCATCTGCTCTTATATAACTATCATTAGCTTACAGCTTTAAGTGTTTAAGGTGTGCTAACTAAAAATAAAGACAAGATGATAGTTTATTAAATTTTAATGAAATTTGCAGATTGTTTCGGTGAAGTTTAATAAACTCCTTGCTATCTAAAATATAACAGGACACCGGAGTATATTCTCGAGCATCTCACACTTCTGATAATCAGCTGTCTGCTTGATGTTTATTCAGCTGTGTAAAACATAACTTTAATCTCAGCCAAACCGATTTACTCAGGAACAAATAAAATACTAAAAAAAGCCAAACAATAACATTTTTAAGTTATCTAAGTGACTTATATATGTTTAACCTGAGTAGCGAAAGACGGCGGTGGGTTTGAAAACGATTTGCCGGGAGTCCGGTGTTCTCACGGCTCTAGTGAGCTGCCCCCGGCTAGCTATCGAGCTAGTGGGTAACAGACGTCTCCGAAAACGTCGGAGCGCTTTTGAAAATATGTGGTGTCTTGATAAACTGAGCAGATATTTGAGGTTTACACAGCTACATTCTCGCCTGAAAATATGTTAAACGTTTATTTTGTGACCCAGAAAGAATAATAAGAGTAATATTAAAACTAACTAGCTGCCGCCATTGTTGACAACTGCGCTGGGCTGCGCTATGAATTCTGGGACACAGCTTCTTCTTCGGGGTTTAACGGCAGCTGGCATCCTTGTACATGCAGTGCTGCCATCTTCTGTTTCAGTCCGTTATTACACTCTTAAATCCTACTACTCATTCCTGCGTCCTTTGTGATCTTACAAAGCTTCAAACGATGCGTCGACTATTAAATTAGTCGTCGACGATTTTAATAGTCGACATAATCGTGACTAGTCGACTAATCGTGGCAGCCCTACACATGTATGTTTAAACTTTTGCACACAATATTGTTAATATGTACAAACTGAATCGAACTGAACAAATTTATGACTTTTTGTTTTGTTTTTTTACAGTAAAGCTAATTTTGCCCATAGCATTCATCTAGTGTATGCTAATGGGTCGTTAACCAAAACTTATCAATTACCAAGTTTGTACAGTTATACCTTTATTACAACAATATAGATTTTCTGAACATTTTTTAGTGACAATTGTGAGAGAAAAATGCCTGCTTTCCAGCCTGGGCTACTTGAACCCCCTATGTTAACTGATATGGCGGAAACCCCGTCTTCTGACATAAACATACTGACACCCTTTTCGCCCTTCTTTCACTTCTTCCTTTACTTTTCTCTAATCAACTTCCACAAACCTTCGTACACTTACAATTTCCTTTCTTGCCCTCCTCTACCCGTGCCTAACATCTAGAGCCTTACTGGAGAACTACTGAGTCTATTTAATATAAGACTGAGAAGAGGATGACCCACTCAGAGGCAAGCTAAGGCCTTTTTAACTATCAGCATGGCAGACATCCACATACACAGAAAATGCAGGGTGGCTAAAAACAGTCAGTATCATTAAATTGTGCTTTAAAATTAAGTTCCAAAAAAGGACGGATTGTTCTGCCCACCGCTGCCCTGACTTCTCTCTCCAAAGGCAGAAAGGAGGAGAGATGTGGTGGAGGAATAAAAGAGGGGACTGATGTTCTCTTAAGTTCAACGTTTGGCTGAACTTGGGTAGGAGATAGAGGCAAGATGCCGCCGTCTTTCTTTTAGGTTCCCCCATGGAGGTGGGGGGATAGCCAGGGTCCTGGGGTGAGGAGGAGGAGCTGAGTGACCGGCTGACTTTCCAGCTCGGGCACCAATCATAGCCGGGAGGCTCTGGTTGCGCCTCAGGCCATCTAAAAGGCTCCCTCCACCTGCTGACACAAATGTGGCAGAATCCTGGCGTGGCATTGAAGCATCAGACTCAGAACCATGCAACACCTTAGTGAATCCCAGCTGCCGGAGCTTCTCCACCAAACCAACACTGGCCGGGTCGGGCCTGGATCTGCCTGATTTGGCGGATGACATGAGGGCTGGGGTTTCTTGGGATGGGCTTGGTAGGTCAGGATGCGGAGCGCGGCCCAGGTTTAACCCATAAACGTCTTGGAGAAAAAGCTCTGCGGGCCGCGAGGCCAGGAAATTGTCAGCTGGGTGTTGGCGGGGCTCTGTAGGCACTGGGGAAGGGGCAGGAGAGTGGGAGGGGGAGTTGGGGGGCGTGCTTGGCAGAAGCTGGAAGAGGGGCTGCCAGGGGGCGGGTCTCGGGGTTGGAGGAGGGTTGGAGACTTGTGCAGAAATACCCCTCTCTAGGACCAGCTTGGTCAGGCCACTGGGGGGTGCAGGCAGACGTCGAGGGGGGAAAGAGTCACCCAGACTGAGTCTGCAGGGAGTCACAGGGGTGCTGGGACCCGTCCTCATGGAGCTAGGCGTGTTCGCCATGTGGGATGACTGAGAACTGAAAGCAAGAAAAGGAGAGTCTGTGTTAGAACAATAACAGTGTTTATGGGATGCTTATTTTCTTGAAGAGGACTCACCTTGGGGTGACCTGTGTGATGTCACACGGGTGCAGAATGCGGCAGGTAGTGAAGGTGTAGGTGGAAAAGGTGGAGCTCTGACACTTCCCTGGGTTTTGGACTGAACAAACAAGAAAACTTCAGAAAACCAAACACGCGCACCTTGGAAATGATGAGCAATAACAAGCTACAAAAAGTGATTTTTACCAGAGGAAGATACTGCTGTCGATGTCAAGGTTTGGCTTTGTGATTGGAGTCCTGCTCCAGAGGCTCCTGGAATGGGCTGAGGCGATTGGCCGGGTTTCTCTGTGGCATGAAGGGGTGTAGGGCAGAAGTCTAACCTGATGGAGGAGGAAGCAGCTGGACTCCCAGTGGAGAGAGGCGGCACTGGGACAGATGATACCGCATGCTTTCTGTCCTTTTTCTCCTCGGGTGTAGATGAGCAGCGCACGTTAAAGGTGATTCCGCCTTCCTCCTCCTCATCTTCCTCCTCCTTACTCCGCTCTGCTGCTCCTTTCTCCAGGATACCATTCCTTCTGTTTTCTTCATCTTCTTCATCCTCCTCCATGTCAGACAGGTGGTACACAGCGTCCTGAGCCAATGGGCGAAAACCTTTAGTCACTACTCCAGGGTGTGGGTCCAGGATGGTTCCCAGGTGAGGTTTGGCCAGCTGCTGCCAGTGGTGCAGTGTCAGCGAGCCTGAGAAAGAAATGTCAGCATGTGTTACTGCATACTCTGCATTTAATTATTAGTTATTAATAATCTCTGCCTCTCTTCCACTGCATGTCCTTGTCCTGTCTTCCTCCCCTCACCCCAACCAACCCCAGCAGATGGCCACCTCTCCCTGAGCCTGGTTCTGCTGGAGGTTTCTTTAATTGGATTACATCACCTTGTAGTAAACGATAACCTTCGAGGTGTCAACAAAGCAAACATTACCTTCCATGGGTTTGACAATCTGGAGCTTCTCAGGCAGGAAAGTCTTAAAAACAGTGGAGGCGATGGAGAGATCCGACAGGTTGGAGAAAGACGAGACTGCACTGCCCATTGGTGAGCTGCAGCAACTGCCTTCTCCTTCCACCTCCGCCAGGGCCTGCACCTTCTTTTCCCGCTCCGCCTGGAAGAACTGTCGCTCGGACAGGAAGTTCTGACGGCGCAATGACAGGCGGTGGAGTGCTCTAGTGAGATCATTTCCTCTC